GAGGTTCACGTGCTTGCCGGCACGCTAGTCCCCGTTGTGTCGACCAACACTTGGTGGTTCAGCGGCTAGGAGATGTTGCACGAACCTCGTCCACACAATTGGACACCACAAGAACCTACCCACAAGTGAGGTAACTCAATGACATAAACAATCCACTAGAGTTACCTTTCGGTGCTCCGTCGAGGAAGGCACAAGACCTCTCACAATCACCACGATCGGAGCCGGAGACAATCACCAACCTTCGCTTGACGATCCTCACTGCTTCAAGCTGTCTAGGTGGTGGCAACCACCAAGAGAAACAAGTGAATCCCGTAGCGAAACACGAATACCAAGTACCTCTAGATGCAATCAGTCAAGCAATGCACTTGGATTCTCTCCCAATCTCACAAAGATGATGAATCAATGATGAAGATGAGTGGGAGGGCTCTAGCTAAGCTCACAAGGTTGCTATGTCAATGCAAATGGCTAAGAAAGTGAGCTTGAGCCGGTCATGGGGCTTAAATAGAAGCCCCCATGAAATAGAGTCGTTGGCTCCTCAGTCCACTGAAAAACAGGGCCACTGGACGCGCTGGTCAGATTGACCGAACGCTGGACCCCAGCGTCCGATCACGCGATGCGTGCCACCTGGCCCCTGCTTCAAACGTTGTTCGCCCGATCTCAATGGTCATCAGTACATTTAAGTTGTGACTAGACGCGCTGCTTCAAAGTGACCAGACGTAGGACCCCAGCATCCGGTCATTTCCAGTAAGGTTCCATTCATGATTGGACATGTCCGGTCATGCCCGACCGGACTCACCTAGCGTCCAATCACTCACCATCTCCTCTGTGCGCTGCCACATCAATGTACATCAGCATTGACCGGACGCAGGCCCCGAGCGTCCGATCACACTTCGCACCAGTGTCGGTCAAAAGACCGAGACTACACACTCACTGCTGCTACTGCCCGGACACAGGACCCTAGTGTCCGGTCACTGCGTGACCAGCGTCCGGTGCACTCTGTGAAACCCTATCTTTTATGTATAAGGGCGTCGGTGGCACCATCGGACTGTCTCGTACTCTACGGGAGAACACTCCGCCGGTGGAGTTTCGAACCCTTGCTCCCAAGTGCTAAATATAATGTGTATCACCTTTGTGTATGTGTGTTAGCATGTTTTCACAAACATTTTCAAGGGTGTTAGCACTCCACTAGATCCTAAATGCATATGCAATGAGTTAGAGCATCTAGTGGCACTTTGATAACCGCATTTCGATACGAGTTTTACCCCTCTTAATAGTACGACTATCAAACCTAAATATAATCACACTCGCTAAGTGTCTTGATCACCAAAACGAAAATGCTCCTACCACTTATACCTTTGCCTTGAGCCTTTGATTTTCTTTTCTCCTTTTCGTGTCCAAGCGCTTGATCGTCACCATGGAATCACCATCATCATGTCATGATCTTCATTTGCTTCACCACTTAGAATAGTGCTACCTATCTCATAATCATTTTGATAAACTAGGTTAGCACTTAGGGTTTCATCAATTAACCAAAACTAAACTAGAGCTTTCAGCAGCGGGCTGCCGGCGGCCGTGGCGCGCCAGCATTCGTGGCGCGGGCGGCGTGTGTGGGCACGGTGGGCGCGTGCGGGCTCAGCGGGCGCTAAAGAATAGGGCAGCAACATGGCTTCTTGATGCCCCAGTGGTGATCTGCTCGCTTTGGGGCAGTGACCACGCGCGCACATAGCAAGGTGGCAGCGTGGCTCACTTTGTGGTCACCGGCGAACTCGTGAAGGAGCCCGACGGCGTCATCTTAGTTCTTAAGGTAAGTGAAAAGCGTCTTACTGATCTTAGGGTTGGGGATTGGTACCGGATTTGGGTAATTTGCATTCCTAGGGTTCGGATTTGGGCAAAAACTAGGGCTTAGTGTTGAAGTTGATTCGACTCCCCTCCTTCTCGGTGCTTAAGCGAAACCCTATATTCTGATTTGGCTTAAAGAACTTTGAATCGGACAAATGTGAGGCTATTTAGATCTTAACCAAACACTAATTAGGTCTTAGGGTTCAAGAATTAGCTAAGCGGCTTCTCGGGTACCAATTGTTAGAACTTATACTTAGACAAGATCTTAATTAACCTAATTATAGGAACGCCTAAACCAAAATTAGCAATTAATTAGAACTTTAATCAATCTTACTTTACTCGCTACCGACGTGCGTCGTCGTCGTGGTGGCGTGCGGGCGCGGCGGGAGTGGCGTGCCGGCGTGCGTGGCGCGACCGACGCGACGGGCGGCGGGCGTCGACGACGACGGCAGCGGCATAGGCGGCGTGGCGGCGTGGCGGGTCGTGCGGCGGGCAGGCAGCGAGAGAGAGGAGGCGGCGGCTCATGGCGATATTTTCGAGGATGACTGCTGGCGTGAGGATAGCACCCCGGTCATCGCCACATCAACCCTCTCATCGCGCCACCATGCATGGCGCGGCACAGGCGTTTCGCCGCGCCAGGAAAATAGGCACGGCCAAAAGTGTTAGTTTTGAAAAAAAAATTAAACAGTGTTAGATTTAAAAATTAGTTTAAAAAAGCGTTAAAAAAATCTCCCCAGGTTAGTGACGCCGATGCTTTTCTCCTTTTCCCCTGGCGATGCTTTTCTCCTTTTTTCCCCTTTCTGTTTCTAGACTAGAGTGGCGGACCCAGCCCAAAATTATTTTGCAAAATAGTATGAGGTAGGGCGGAGCCCACAGGAGCAGGTAGGCAAGCCGCAATCGCTGCGCCGCCAGGCGCTGCCAGTGCTAGGTGGGGAGCCGCTGGCGGGCCGCCTAGGTGGAGCAGCGACTGCCGGTTCCCGATGCCCACCGGCGGCGCGCGACGCAGCCTCCGGTGCTAGGCGCCATCGATGGTCCACCAAAGACGGGAGGGGAACAAGAGGCACGCACGCAGGGTCATCGGCCAATGTGTAGTGGACCGGGGGCGGGAGGGGGAGCCACTGACGGCGGCCCAACGCCAAGCCTGGGAGCGCCGCTGTCATCGCCTGCGTGCGAGAAAATTGGAATTTTGTCCTCATGGCAGGTGGGCTTCGCCCAAATGCCATCAAGTTTGTGGGCTTTGCTGAAATGCCCTTATAAAATGAGTCCAACACGTTATAATGCCATTTTAAGATTTAAATCCACTTTTAATATTTTTCACCCAAAATTTTAGCCTGAATTGACCATTTTGCTCCTAAGCTCATTGACCCTTGCCCCCTCTCGGTCACACGGTCACGACAAAGAACGGTCCCCTTGGAAACTAAGAGAAAGGAGAAGGGAGCTCGAACGCAAGAACAGGAAACCGGCGACCACAAAATCGACAAAAAACTGGACCGAATCAAAACAAATCGCGACCAAACTTTTCATAGGCCATCACAAGGGAGTTGGTGAGCATACTCTAAGAGATCATCGCCCAATTTCAACCCAAACTCCGAGAAAATTGGATCATGGCCAAGAACACGAAAAACTCCCCAAAAACAAAATTCATTCAATTTCTTCGTGCTCGACTCGATTCAATCAAATTCACTTAAGGGGTAGCATCAAATCATGTCATAGCACAAATCTGAGCAAAAAAGAACGAACTAAATCGGTCTCAAAATGAAGAATCGAAGCAAGAATGGGGGAGGAAAAAACTGAGAAAAAAGATGCAAAAATAAAATCACAGACACAATCCCTTGAATTCCACACAGAGGTGGTAATTTGATCTCATCGATGGAGACTTTTTCATCTTTGAGATAAGTAGTGTCATTGCCAATTGGTGCCGTCCTTTCACAGATAAACACATAGAAGACAAACATTGGAACAACAGGCATTCTAGGCCAAACCCTAGAACACGAATCGAAGTCATCAAAGGGATGAATCAGAGAGGCAAAAGCAAAATCCCAAAATACAAGAGGAAATGGGAGCACCTAAGACTACTCTATGCCAACCGCGGCACCGCTGAGACCCATCGGCACCGGACATGAGCACCATGAGCGGCCACAACAGGAGAGAGGGAGAGGGGGAAAGATGAGGACGACTGGCCTGCAAGGCCATGCCTCGCCCCTGCCTGCCTGCACAGCATGCACATGCAGACGCCCAGTGATGGTAGATCGAGACGGGAGGAGAGGAGGGAGGGGCGCTGCGTTGCGCCACCGCCTGGCTGGGCGCGCCACACTCATGGGAGGCTGCCCGGTGGCATGGCAGCCGGGGCGTCAAGTCCACACCGGGAGAGATGGAAGAGAGAGAGGGGGCGCGACAGCGGCGCGCCACGCCGAGCCGGGCTCGCCTCGCCACGGGGCCTGCCTGACCACGCCAGCAAGCAGCAGGGAGGCCACCCAGCGTTCGGGGCCGGCATGTGTGCCGCCACCTCGGGAGAGAGAGGGAGAGGGAGAGAGGAAGGGGAGGCGACGGGAGCGAGAGAACAAGAGGGGGAGAGATGAGAGGGCAGGGGTCAATGAGCTCAGGGACAAAATGGTCAGTTCAGGCTAAAATTTTGGGTGAAAAATATTAAAAGTGGATTTAAATTTTAAAATGACATTATAACGTGTTGGACTCATGCCCACAAACTTAATGACATTTGGGCGAAGCCCACCCGCCATTAGGACAAAATTCCAATTTTCTCCCTGCGTGCCGAGCGCAAGTGGAGAGGGAGCGGATGCTTTGCCGAGCTACGCCCTATGGGCTGGGTCTGTGCCGGTGTGCCCTAAGGGCCTCTTCCCTCTGCTGTGATGGGCCGATGTAGGCCAGTGGCCAGATGGCCCATGCTGCCTGCCGGCGTATGCCCCAGCCCCAAAACAAAAGGCCCACCACTCCGCGCGTCGTCTTCTACCTCGCACGCTCGGCCGCTCGGCGCCACTGCAGTCCGCGCTCGACACTCCGGGCGGGGGTGGGGGATCCGCCCTATTGGTGGAACCCTGTCGCCCTCGTTCGCCTCCCTGCCACCTCGCTCCCCTCCCCGCCGCTTCACTCACGGCCTCCGGCCTCCCCGCTCGTTCGTTCCGGGCGCCGGCCGCGGGGACGGGATGCAGCAGGCGCAGGCGCAGACGATGGCCTCGGCCGCCGGAATCACCTCTGGGCAGATCCAAAAGGTTCTTCTATTGTGATTTGTGATGACTGAACCCTGTTTACTTTGGCTCGAATGGTTCTTGAGCTTCGAACTATTGATGATACGTTTCCGCAGTGCTGAACCCATTGTGCCTCATTGCCATGCTTGCCCAGAAAACACTACTCACTATTCCGAGCCAATCTAGCTATTACACAGAAAACTCTGCATTGTGACTGTGAGCCTGAATGCTCACAATCTAGCTATAGCCTGTGGTTTCTTTGCTGTCCGTGCACTTTTGAGCTTGGACAGTGTCTTCCTGTCCTACCAAACTGATATTTGTAACAGTGGGCGAACCTGCCCAGTGGGCGAGCGGGGCGGTTTGACCTGTGAACCGCGTTTGTCAATAGTGGTGCAACGGGTCTTGATTAGGTGCGCCCCGAAGGCCCGAACCCCGCACCGTTTGCAGGCCTAGTTCTGTCATTGGATTGGGGACGACTGGGGAAGCGTGGTTTTGGGTGGAGTCAATGGGTGGCGCAGTTAGAGGGATTCAATTCAACCCTTGTTTTCATGACATACACCGATTGGGATGACCTGCAGCCTATATTAGATTGGGATGCTCTATCATAGTTCCCTACACTTATTATCTAGTACTAGTTTCCTTCAATTTGTCATGTTAACATCCACAATGATAGTATCCTCTGACTTCTAGTTACAGTGATTTGGTGGTCGTAGTGAGCAATTCTTTGTTCTGATTATGATTGTTTGCAGTTTCAGCAAACTACATTATGTGACTATATGGACCTGACAAGCACTTAAATACTTCTTTTCTGTGCAGAATAGAATCCTTGGATCTAATTCGAAGCCATTTGTGGGTATCGTACTCAAGAAACCTCAGCAGGTGAATTAAGTTTTGCATTTTTTTTCTTTTCTATATAATAGTAAGATTCTGAGGTGTATATGAAATGCTAACGAAAATGATACTCTGCTTAGGTTGGAGCCCTGCCCCTCCATGTGAGGGGATCCATTGCTTCTTCACCGTGGAAGCTTTTCTCCCCTAAGGCAGCAGCCCCTAAATCAGGGGATGGCATACGCATTGCAGTGCTAGGGGCCAGCGGTTATACTGGAGCTGAGGTTGTCCCATCATTATGATCTCATTTTGTATGATGATTTTTGTTCTTGGTTCTTTTTTGCTAATGTCGTTGCTATGCTTTTGTTAACAGATTGTTCGGTTTCTAGCGAGCCACCCTCAGTTCCATACAAAAGTGATGACTGCAGATAGAAAAGCTGGCGAGCAGTTTGGATCTGTATTTCCTCACTTGAGAACGCTGGTGAGAACTTATCTTCTCTCTTCCTCCTCATCTATGATCTTAGCCTAGTTATATCAAGAAGCAACTAAGCCTCTGGGCTGTACTACATTTATGTGCACTAAAGTTATATCATCACAGCTTTATTTGTTATGTTTGTCAAAATCATAAAATATTGTTGATTTTCTTCTGATTTGCAGGACCTGCCGAGATTGGTTGCAATAAAAGATGCTGACTTTTCAGACGTTGATGCTGTTTTTTGTTGCTTGCCACATGGTACAACACAGGTTTGTTTATTGCTACTATGTTTTTACCTTAAATTCTTCATACCTTTTATTGAATTTGTTAATACAATACTATCTTAGACTCTGTTGTACAACGTGTGGAGCACTAGATTTTAATAAACTTTACAATGCACTGCCTAACTATAATATTTTTTTATCAGGAAATTATCAAAAGTTTACCCCGACACTTAAAGATCGTTGATCTCTCAGCGGTATGCTCTGCACGCACTATATTTACTTCTCTAATATGGGTACGATCTCGATTGTTGTTGAGAAACTATTGCTTACAGGACTTCCGACTACGTGACATCAATGAGTACGCTGAATGGTATGGCCATTCCCATAGGGCACCAGAACTACAGGTTCTTACTACTCCCTCCATTTCAAAATGTTGGGCCAAATAGAACTTAAAAAGGGCGTACCCAGTGCAGAGAGCTCCCGCTCTGTGCAGGGTCTGGGGAAGGGTGTTAGTGGCAAGCCTTACCCTCGCATGTGCAATGCGAGGAGACCGCGACTCGAACCCGGGACCTTCCGGTCACAGGCGGTAAGACTCTACCGCTTGCACCAGGCCCGCCCTTCTGATACTAGTATGATTCATCAATAGGTTCATATTTTACATGTGGTAAGAATGTAAGATGTTGATTTGTAGTAATTGATTATATTATTAGAGAAATCAATAGTCAAAGTATACCATGAAAGGCCTTTTTAAATACTAATGCCCCTTATATATAAAAGAAATAGATGGACTGATTTTCTCTTTAGCTTTGCCTAGTAACTAGCACTGCCTTTGCTATCTTGGCACTTGAGTTGTCATCAATTGTTCTTTATGATTTGTGCTATTGATGTCTTGTATGATACTACTAAGTTCTAAGAATTAGGTTTGGTTTTCATAGATTTTTGATGGTTCTGTTTGTGGCACTATGTTATATTTCTTAGAATTTCTCTTTACTTTAGCCTTTTTCTCCTTTCAGGAAGAGGCTGTGTATGGTTTAACTGAACTTCAACGAGATGACATAAGAAATGCACGTCTGGTAGCAAATCCAGGGTGTTATCCCACATCTATTCAACTTCCGCTTGTTCCTTTGGTAAAGGTGAGGTTTAATAGAAGTTTGTGGGATCTTACACATATCTATGTTAATATTTGTAAATTTAGATAAAATTACACTAAGTTATGCCATAGAATTGAATTGATAAAAGCATAATCTTTATGTCTATAGTATTGAAACTTTATGTGTTAGTAGTATTCTCAATATCTAGCTTTTTCCTTAAGCTATTTTGTTTGCTTTTTAGGCAAAACTGATCAAGCTGACCAACATTATCATTGATGCAAAATCTGGGGTCAGTGGTGCAGGTTCGTATTTATTTGAGATAATCGATTTATTTTCTATTTCTGCTTCAACATTAAATGATTTGGTCTCTAAAACATGTGTCCTTTTAGGACGTGGGGCTAAGGAAGCAAATCTTTACACTGAAATCGCTGAGGGTATCCATGCTTATGGGATAACAAGCCATCGGCATGGTAATATTTATACTCAACTAGCCATATTAATGTTTTGATTATATTTGTTGTGTTAGTGATATATATCTTACCTCATTAACAAATTGTGATTAAAATAATGACAGTTCCTGAGATCGAGCAAGGACTTACAGATGCTGCTGAATCAAAAGTTACTATCAGCTTTACTCCACATTTGATGTGTATGGTAAGCACTTAATTATACTTATCCTTTTACTTGCTAAATTCAATATTCACTTTTGTAAAATTCGATAATCATTTCTACTGGTATTTAATAGACACGTGGGATGCAGTCTACTATATATGTTGAATTGGCATCTGGAGTGACTCCCAGGGATTTGTATGAACACCTGAAGTCTACTTACGAGGTTTGTTTACTTAACCATGTAGGCTGAATTATGTCAGCTTAGGAAGGATCATACTTTTTCACTGAAGTCATCGATCTATCTTGTGATTTTGTAGTGTATAGAGAAATGTACTCTTGTTAGCACAGAGTTCATTCATCATTGAATCTTTTCAGGATGAAGAATTTGTCAAGCTGTTACATGGTAGCAGCACTCCTCACACAAACCATGTTAAGGGATCAAATTACTGCTTCATGAATGTCTATGAGGATAGAATTCCTGGAAGGGCCATCATCATCTCTGTCGTAAGTGCCTTCAGTCAACTTTATCACACATAAGTATATAGCAAAAATAATATCACATACTTAAGATGCACGTAGTCCTTAGAAGCTACGTTTCAACTTTGCAGATAGATAATCTCGTGAAGGGAGCATCTGGTCAGGCTTTGCAAAATCTTAATCTGATGATGGGACTGCCTGAGAATATGGGGCTGCAATACCCGCCCCTGTTCCCTTGATCTTTTGTGTCAATATCTATGATTACATTATTTAGGAGTACGAAAACCAATTTATCGTTACTGTCAAGAGGCAAGGAGCCCCACATTAGAATTCAATCAAGTCGAAGTTAGTATAGCTTCGCCTGTGTTGTTTTATCTTTATTAAGAGAATAACGATAATGACAATTTAGCAGTACAATGGTAGTATTATGTGAGCAGCTTGGTTCCAATAAAATCATAAGCCTATATACATCTTGTACCCGCAATGTTGTTTGCTATTTTGATCATGAAATCAATATTGAGTTTGAACGCAGTTCTGAGACATCGGCTATCCTTGGCATCACTGGATATAATTATGGTGTCTTTTTTATTACGTCCAAGCAAACTTTAGCCCTTACAGTTGTACTTTGAGAAGATTGAAATGTCTCTTAGTATTCTCAAGTCTTTTAGTATAATTCTCAAGTTTTATCTTATAGTTGCATGGACCATACCATTGCTATAGGCCCTGTTTGGTACGACTTAAGTTTTAGGAAAGCCAGCTTTTCACCACCTTCCCACAATAGCCACTTATTGGAAATTCTCGAGCCTAAAAAGCTATCTATTTCTCAGTGTCTTAGTGATGAAGATGAAGGGAAGCTTGTGGGTGTTAGCTTTGGGAGGAGAGGCCTTACGAGGTGAGGTTGGGGAGGGAGGGAGGGAGGGGGGGGGAGGGGGGGGGGCTCGGGAGCTCATTCACCAGCATGGAGGCCACGAACGGCAAGGAGGCGAAGGCGAAGGTGACGGCAGATGTGGAGGAGAGGGCAGTGGCAGAGGGGAGGTCAGTGTGGCGGCCAGAGAGGAAGTCAAAAGTGGAGGAGAGGCAATGGGCGGCTCTCTTGGGAAGCGTGGGCGACGAGGAGGAAGGCGCGACTGCATGGGGAAGGAATTGCGGGGATGAGGAGGGGGCGCAGGGATGAGGAAGAAGCTCTTGCTAAAAATAGCTACCGAGAAGCTTGGCGTTTGGGGCAACCTTGGCTTATTTATGATGAAAAACTGCCTGAGAAGCACATCCAAACAGGGCCATAGTAATGCAAAGTCATTGGTTGGTCAGTGCAACTCTCTTCTTGACGATCATAGATGACATGGTAATGCAGGTGGTTAGTTATAGCATTTTTTTTTTAAGACTATCATCGTACTATGGTTTTCATGCAAGTCAAATTAGGCCCCATGTTTTCTTAAAATTATCTCAATTAAGTTGCAATGGTAGTTTTGTTTTTTGTGATTTGGGCTAACTGTAGAGTTGAAGCTTGGCCCTTATGACATTTGTCACTTTAGGGTAGTCCTGATAGTGACCGAAAGGAATCTAGGTCCTGATAGCATGGTGAGCATGCTAGGCTGCCATCAAATCGAATCTTGCAGTTTATATATGGAAAAAAAAGATGTCCTGTGTTTAACCTCAACCCCCCTTTGCTCTTAGAACCATCGAGTGGTGCCATCCTGAGCTACAAAATGTATATTGGGAACTATGTCAGGAGGTAGTTTTCATTCGTCAACTTTTATTATAAATTTTCATTGTTCTCTTCTTCGATTGTCTTGAAACTTGTGACAAGTACAATTCTTACTGCTATTGAGTTTTGGATCAGGTTCAGAGACATCCATAAGCAAATTTACCGTGGCCAAATGTCAAGTGCTACATATATAGCTAGGAGACTACAAGTAGATGCCAATGTTGTGTATTTCTCTATGATTAGCCAGCCCTTGATACCAAAATGATACTGTAAACAAATTGGCATTATAATCACAAGTAGACTTGCAGCGATGTAATAATATATAGTTGTATTCTGACTTGACCATCATTTGTGGCCCTTAGCTATTGTTTTTGCAAGTGGCTCTTCATTTTTTTTAATTGGCATTGAATCTAGTTGAAGAATACATCTAACAGTTCTTTTCAGTTAAAATCAGTTGTGTTTGGTTTCTTCTGACTGCTGATCAAAGATGCTGTATATTGTTTGACTTGAAAAATGCAGTTGACCTTAAGTTGTTTATGCTAGCCTTACATCTCAATATTTAGTTTCTATAAATGTTGTTTTTGTTTTGTTTGACCTCTTGTGTTAACTGATGCCTATGATCTATTTTAAGCTACTATATATTATATAATATGTGCCTTTTGGAGGTACATGGACATGGGCTCTGTGAGGGCAATGCTCAGTTCCTGTACGGTCCAAAAAAAAAAGTTATCTGAAGTCTTATTAGTAATGACAGCATTGTAAGAGCAAACAACATTTATTCTGTTAGAGTGTAATTTGACCATAGCAGCATTTATACTGTGTACATAGCTCCTCTTTTGTCCTTAAGTTAATAAAATGGTAGACTATTTATTATGGAACGAATTTGAAAGAAAAATGTTATCGATTTAAGTTAAAGTTGGATGCCGTCCATCTTAGACTTTTATAATTGTAACCTTGAGATCTTTACTGTTCCATAGGGGTGTCTGCAGAGATGTGGTTCTGATGGATTGAAGTGATCTAACCTCATGCAATGCATCTACACGGATCAATTATGCAGCAGCATATAAAATTTATCATCCAATTGCAACAGACAGTCGACAAGCCTATTATGGGTATGTTGTTAACTTCATGGGTTTCTTTTTCTCACCTGTGCTTTTGTAGGTAGATTAATGTTACCTGCAGCAGGAGGGGCTATTTGAATGTTTGTACACCATGATAATAACATATCTTGCTGTTAATTCTCGTTGATTCTAGTTGGCCATAGATACAAAGCTCTCTTTTTGATTGCTGCTGTAGCTAACTTCTCTGCAGCGTTTTTCTTTAACTGGATCTTCTCTGCAGCGTTGCTGCTGTGTAAACATCTGTAATGCAGACAACTAAGAAGCGAAGTTTCTTGTTTAGAATGCAGTATAAATGTATGGAGAGCTTTTATTTACAGATCTTTGTCATTTTTTCTTCTGTGTCGCATTATTGGTAGTGAAAACTACTTGTTAGAAATTTCAGGTGCTGCTGCCTGAAACGCTAATTAACTAAAAACTGGTAATGCAGCAGTTAATTTTTTCTAACATTAGACATTTAGACATATCATTAAATAGTTGATATTTGAGTATGCCATTATTTCGAAATTTGTGGAGAATCAAATCAAGGAACAGTATACAAAATCAGACATGTCATTACCTTTTCTTTTCTTTTCATTGAAAGTGACATTATTTTGAAAAAAAGCGGTGCTAGTATAAAGGGATCACGATAGAGAGCAAGGGACTCCCTCCTTTATTTCTATTTAATGTAAAGACTTCAACATCCCTTTTTTTACAAAGTGTCCCTGCTTTATATTGAAAGTTCAAGTTCACAGAAAGGGTAAGATGGAAAACAAAAGAACAACATTGTTTTGTACATGGCCGTCACGTTCATATAAAAGAACAGAAGATGGACACATGCGGCTATTGAATTTGTTTCTATTGCAATCACAATGAATTCGGTTCTCCTAAAGGACCCACTTTTAATACTGTTGATGGATGGGCAAAAAGACTGTTTCTTGTACCATGTAGCATACACCTAATACGGTAGGTAACAACTTAGGAATATGTGATAATGTCTTTTCAAAATTATTTTTGTTTCCAGAAGACAGTTATTGAACTCCACCGGCAACTTAAGTACTCCTAAGTTCACTTTGGCTTTGTCCTAACTTCTAAGTCAGACATCTCTAACTTTTGACCAATTTTTTAGAAAAAAAAATACATTAACATCTACATTTTCAAAGAAATGCACTATCAAAATATATTTAATGGAGAATTTAGTGAAACTAATTTGATGTTATGGATGTTGGTGCATTTTCCTATAAACTTGGTCAAAGTTAGAGAAGTTTTACTTAGGACAAAACCAAAGTGAAGTATAATTTGGAACAGATGGAGTAGCTTTAGATCTGCCATAGTCATCTACATGGATAAGTAATCCTACTACCAATTTTCTTAAGAATGCAACAGCAAAACCATTTCTCCACGGTCCATGCATAATTAGGTGAGATTTTGTCCCTTCATGTATATTTTAAGGGCTTCATAGATTAATCTTGAATTCTTGATGCAATTTGGCTTCTCCACATATGAGTTATTTATCTTCCTTTTTGGCTATTATTTGTTCTTCATTTCTTTCGTTTCAATGTATCAAGATTTCTATATTGTAACATTTGAAGGTGCCATAATCTTTCGTACAATTGGAGCTATAAGAACAGGGCTTTAAACAAACCGTATGTTCTTGTTTTCTTTTTTTTTTTCCTTGCCAGCATTTAGCTATATTGTTTATTTTGCCTCTTGATCCTCTGCTTGGAACAAAGAGGCAGGAAGAATAAGTCATTTTTGGGTCACGAAAGGACAATCCAGAACTACAATCATTTTTTAAACTGCCGCTAGATCTGAGTCATGTGCAGCCCTTATTTTACTATTGATGGAAAGCTCACAATCAGATCACCCAATGACTTTGGTTTTTCAGGCATTGCAATACATCATTGTTCAGGGTTACTAGAAGTTCACATGCTCCGTGAATTTTTAGATGTGTCATAATCTGAAAAGAAAAGGGAAAGATCTTTTGAAACTGCTGTATTAGTGAATCATAACTATGGCATCTTGGTATAGATTTCCTTATTTTGCATAGTGTCTAGATCTTTATTGCATTGTTTTTAGCACCCAAGGAAAAGATCCAATAAGAAAAGGGAAAGATCTTTTGAAACTGCTGTATTATCGAATCATAACTATGGCATCTTGGAATAGATTTGCTTATTGTGCATAGTGTCTAGATCTTTACTGCATTGCTTTTAGCACCCAAGGAAAAGATCCAATTTGGTGCAGTTTTTATGTCCCAAAGGTTGCTATTTGATATCTTAGAAGTTCTAAGAATCTATCAAACATAAATTCCTGCAATGGGCCAGCGGGCAAAAGTATTGGTGTTAATGTGAGAGGAGGTGATGATGATTGCTTGTTGGCTGTATTCCACAGTTCTTAAGGGCAGTACGCAGTATCATAGTACAGGAGATACATACAA